ATTAATCATGAAAGCTTGGCCTATAGCTTAGGCTTGTTCCTAACTAGTTCTTATAACTTAATTAACCCACATATATTAATCTATGTTCTATCACCTGGAGTTACCTCTTTTCCATCTTGTACCTCCTGTTTCCTCTCTGTGTCTCCTGGTGTCTCCCAAGTAATCCAAGTGCCTAGATTCCTCCTCCTCCACCTCCTCCTCCTCCTCTTTTCCCTCTCTCTCCCCAAAAATCCTACCTATCCTGTCCTAACTATTCGCAATTCAGCTCTTTATTAAACCAATCAGAAGGCACCTTGGCAAAGACATATCTTAGTATGCACAAATATTCTGCACCAATCATGGGCAAGACTTTGTCTCAAAAACAAACCAACAAAAGCAGAGCAAAAGACGGAAACAGCCTCGTACTGAGGTGGACTAAAGGAAGATGAAAACTACCTTTAGCCCATGATTTTAAATTTAATTAAATCTTAATAAAGGATCTTATTGGTACATTTTGTGAAACTTGAATAGGATGTGAAGATTTGCTAGTAATTAAAATTTATTGGTTTTGATGACTATAATGGTTACCTTTGCTTGTAGAAAGTTGTGGTAAAGTATTTCAGTGTGCTGTAAAGCTGGGCCTTTATCCCCCCTGAATGTTTATTAATTTTTGAGATGAGTATACACTATGGTACCCAGGCTGGTTTCAAACTTGTAGGTTCAGTGATTCTTTTGTCTTGGCCTCCCAAGTAGCTGAGACTTCTGCCATAAATTGTCAGCTTGGCTATTTTTTATGCTCATAACATTTTTCTTCAGGCATTTGATTATTTCAAAATTTAAAACACACAGGAAAACATTTTAATCCTTATTTTTAAAAATTATGTGTATGTGCGCATGTCTTTATGTATATGTATGCGAGTGCAGCTACCTGCAGAAGTGAGAAGAAGGTGTTGGATCTCCTGGAACTGCTGTGAAAGGCCTTTTTTGGAGCTTAGAGCCAAACTCCAGTCCTCTGCAGGAGTAAGTAGTACATGCATTTAGCATCTGAGCCATCTCTCCAGCCCTATCCCCTGTCCCATCCTATTGAAAACTGACTTTAAAACCAATGTAGAGGACTGGAGAGATGACTCAGCAGTTAAGAGCACTGGCTGCTTTTCAGAGGACCTGGGTTTGATTCTCAGCACCCACATAGTAGCTTAAACCTCCTATAAATTCAGTTCTAAGGGGATCCAACACCCTCTTCTGGCTTCCATGAGCACTGTATACACATAGTGCACAGACATACATGCAGGCAAAACATACACATAAAATCAAATAAAAAACCAACCTCAACAAATGCAGAAAAAGATACTTGAAAAAACCATTTTTTTTTTTGAGATGGGGTCTTATTCTGTGGTTCAGATTGGCCTTGAATTTAAGAAGATCCTCCTGCCTCTGACTCCCTAGTGCTTTGCTTTCTTCAGGATGGACTGTCTACACAAATTACTTGGCATTCTTTTGTTTAGGAAGTTTGCATGTTTTCTCACATTCATTTATTTATTTAATTTACACTAATATGGACTCACTGGTTATTTATACTTCAGGTTTTAACCCAATGCTCTGTTTTTGTTTGTTGGTTGGTTTTTCAGACAGGGCTTCTCTGTGCAGCCATGGCTGTCCTGGAACTTTCTCTGTGGACCAGGCTGACCTTGAACTCAGAGATCTGCCTGCCTCTGGCTCCCAGGTACTGGGATTAAAGGTGTGCACCAACAATGCCCAGCTGTTTTTTTCTTAAAAACATTGTTATAGACTTGACTGCTGTGAAATTTTCCAGTTTGTTTTTGGATCAGTTTGTTTTTGAACACTTCCTATCTGGCACTATGAGATAATCTAAGCTCACACATTTGAGCATCCTAACCCACGTGTACCAGATATCTATGTGTCTATATCCATCTGTATCTTTGTTAGAATAAACCGGAATGCATGTCGATATGTCTCATTATACTCTAGTAACACATCCTGTCTGCATCTTTCCTCCCTTGCTTATCAATAACCTTCTTCTTCATCAGTAAAACATATATTTTCTGCCAGCTGTCACATTATCAGCACACGGTCCAAGAATGGAGTCCTGTGAGGATTCTGGGTGCTTGTGAGAAAACTTGAAAGAAATAAGAATCTTGTGACCTCAGTTTCTTCAAAACATGGAATAGTTCCTGGACCATGCTTTTGTGTTCCTCCCAGGTGTAGCAGACAGGAGTGAGATTACTTCAGATTACTCATTCTTGCTTGCTGGTGCTATTCAATTAAATGTTTATATGCCTCTATGGAAAAACATGTTTTGCCACATGTGACTTGTCCTAGTGATTGTATACAGCTAGAACTCACGAGAACTTTACTCAGGTGACCTCTCTTAACCCTTGTGATAAACTGATGCTCTGAATAAAGTTGGCTTTGCATGAGACTGTAGCCCACCTCATTTAGTGGCTCCATTCTCCCAGGTCTCACTGCCTCTGGAGCATCATACATTTACTATTTTTCTGTCCCAGTATGCACACACCTGTGGGAACATTCGAACTGAAGGGCATTATAGCAATTTCAGGACAGAAACTTCTTAGGTTTCTTTAGAGACTGACAAGACAACTAGATTGTCTAGGACACCAGCTTCTGGAGGTGTCCTAGATCGGTGGGCAGACACCTGGGCTGCTCCGCTGGCTCCCAATTGCTGATCTCCATTCTGGGCTTACTCTCCTCATCTCTCTTCCTCTTTTTACGTGTGTGTGTGTGTGTGTGTGTGTGTGTGTGTGTGTGTGTGTGTGTGTACATACGTGTTTGCACACGTGCATGTGTGTGGAGGTCAGAGGCTGACATCGGGTGTCTTCTGTCACTCTCCATCATATAAATTGCATGGTGGCACACACCTTTAATCCTAGCACTTGGGAGGCAGTGACAGATGGATCTCCATTAGTTCAAGGCCAGCCTGGTCTACATAGTGAGTTCAGGGACAGTCAGAGGTACATAGACCCTGTCTCAAAATACAGAACAAAACAACAACAAAGATTGAAGCATCCAAATCCAGATCTTCATCGCTGAGTGCCATGCACATTACCCACTGAGCCCATCTCCCAGCCACGCCCCCAAGATGTTATTTATTTTTATTTAATGTATATCATTGTTTTGCCTGAATTATGTGTCCCATGTGCATGCAGTGTCTGCAGAGGCCAGAAGAGAGCATCTGGTCTCTTGAAATTGAAATAATAAACAGTAATGAGGTGCCATGTGGACGCTGAAAACTGAACCTGGATCCCCTGCAAGAGTCTCAAGTGCTCCTAACTGTTAGGCTATTTCTCCAGCTCCTCCCTATTTCTTAATATTATTTTTATTGATTTTTTCTTTTACCATAGCAATATATTCCTATTTTATTTGTGTGACATCTTTTAATTAAAAATTTGACATTCTAAGTTTTACCTTATTGAGTGTGGCATAGTTATGTGTTTTGGGCATTCTTGAGCTTTTAAAAATAAAATGAAGTTACTTATAAACAATTTGATCTTTTCTAGGCCTACTTTTGAACTTTCTTAACTGAAACAAGAAAGGCTCTGGGGCCCAGTTTGTCTCACTATTGAGGTGAATCCCTTTCCAGATATTATGTAAAATTATGAAGGTTTCATTGTTTTATAGGAAGAGGTATTATTCCTCACCCCCGCACCCCTTCTAACATTTTCCGGTGTTTTTCTCCTGGACAGTGTGACTTTGTGTCACGTGCTGTTGGTGTGTAGTGGATGCAGTCGGAAGAGGAGCCTCTGCACATCTCTGGCTCGCCGTTTCTTCGTCGTTTCAACTCAAGCTGCTTTACTTCCCCCAGGATTCTGGCTTCATCTCAAACTGCCCTCCGGGCCCTGCCTTCTCTGTTCTCCGACCAGGAAATATTCTCCACCAGGGAAGTTCACCGCACACTTCCTTTATTATCACAGTGCCGATTTTCCTTCACTGTTTCATGTGCGACGCTTTCACATCTATTGTTGAACACATTTTGTCCTTTTTAAAGCTGATTTATGTGGGAGACGGAATCTGGTCCCTATTATTTCAGCTATGTGTTACTTCACTTTAAGAAGCAAATAGGAAATAATTTGTATTTCATATCAAATTCCTAGAAATGCAATTCGAAATTCAGGTTCAAATTAAATTCAGTTCAACTCAAGTTCCTAGTGTTTTTGCAAAGATTTTATTGATTTCTGTTACAACCAATGAGTGGTTTTTGTATTAGTAAAATAATTTAAAACATTATAGCTTTAAATGTCTTCAAACTTAGTTTGTTCTTGTGTTCTTGTAATCATTAAAAAAAATTAGAATTATTTTCAAGAAACAACCTCTTCAGCATTTTTGGCATTTCAAAAAGTAAATCCATACAGGCTGCAGTTTAAAACACAAGATGTCATTTAAAACGGACGTGTAAAAAAATGGTGAGTCGGCAGGATGAAGGCATCTAGATAACACATCCTTTTAAAAATTGATTAATGGGCCTCCTTAAGTACCTGAAGGTTACTTCAGTTTGGCTTTTCTGATTTTTCAGTTTCTCCAAGATCCTACTGGGTCGTCCTGCAGCCAGGGAAAGAGTCCTGCGGTGGTAGCGACCCCTCCAGTAGTCTGACTCCAGGTACAGTCTCGGAGCCAGCTTGAAGAGCCCCGCTGCACGCAGCATTCTGGGTATTGTAGTTTCCCCATCTCTAGAGCTGCGTGGGTCGTGTAGTGCGCGCGCGCGCGCGTCATCCCGGCCGGTGTACTTCCGCATCCTGCAGTCGTCACCTGTGCCTGTGGACTGTCCTCCAGCGGTTGTGGCCAGCGAGCAGGACGACCCCGGCTCCTGCGGATTCTTCCAGAAGACTACGGATTGCAGGCGTGGGCCACCCACAAGGTTCAGGCTTCAGCGGCTGCTCGGTCCTGGATGCGTGGAGTCTTCCGGAGTGGAATCTGCTGCACTGCCCATCTCAGAGGAGGGTCTCGGTGAAGACCCTCGGGTGGGGAGGGGGCCATGTGGGGCTGGGATTTGGGGTCCAGTACCTTTTTCTAGACAAGCTGCAGGTTAGCCTGTCCCAAGATCTGCTTCCCAGGCTAGGCTGTAGGTGTGTCCCCTGCTTTTGGGCGCTGTCTGGGAGACTGAATCTGGGGCATCCTGATGTCTCTACTCTACTCCCACTCGCCACTGAGATTGAGAGGTGAGGGACAGTAGCCATTTTCTACAGGAACAAACATCTGAACTGGTGAGATCGAGAGTCTTGGGTATTAGTCCTGAGGAGCTGCGCTCACCATAAATTTGGAAATACAACTTGCTCACTAGGACTCAGATTCATGCCTGAGGATTGCCTTTGGGGAAAACATACAAAATTGCCTGATTGAAGGGAACAACAAAGACCAGGAGCCTGGGGCCAGTGTTGAATCCTGGAGCCCTGGTGTGTGCCAAGGCTTGTGTGTGTGTGTGTGTGTGGGGGGGGGGGGCGTTGGTCCTTGTACATGTTGTGGGCTTCTGACCTTGTGTGGCTCTCTTGAGTTTGGGACCTTCCAAGAGCCTGGAGTGCAGCCAGGGGAGGACTTTCCCCCATGGCCCAGGGAAAGTTGGCTGACTCCTTGATCCTGGAGATGTGGCAAGGTCTTTGCTTTTTCTTTAGCTCTTTGAGTGATCCATACAACTCATTTTGATCATATTCACCACCCCAAATTCTTCCCAGATCCATTTGCTTTCTCTACCCACCCATCCTTGTATCCTTTTTTTTTCTTTCTTGTTTTAAAATCCATTAAGACTAATTTGTGTTGCCCAAATAGTCTTGTATATTTCACTGAAATGTGATTGGCTTACCAGGAGCTATAGATACTCTTAGAGGAAACTGTCTCTTCCTCTTACAGCAGCTAATAATGTGCCAGTTGCTCCATACTAGTGGTGGGATTTGGTGCTGGACTCTCGTCTCCATGTTGAGATTTGGTTTGGCTTGGGCTTGCACAGGTGCTGTGCATCATGTTGTAACTGCAGTGAGTTCATATGAACAGCTGCCCTGTTGTGGCCAGAAGACATTGTTTCCTTATGGTCCCCACCACCTCTGGCTCTCATGCTCTCTGCTCCCTCTTCCTCAAGGATTCCTGAGCCTGGGCTGCAGGGTTTGTGGTTCCCATCAGGGCTGAACAGTCTGCAGTTTCTTATTCTCTTCACCTTGGCCAGTTGTGGGTCTCTGTGTTAGTCATCATCTATTGCAAATAGAAGAGTCTCAAATGAGGGTGGAGAGAGATGCATTAATCTATGGGTAAGCCAGTAAAGTCATCAGGAGTTGGCTTAATACTGTGTTCATTTAGCAAAATAATAGCAGTAGGGAATCCTCTAGGAATTATTGCATGTCTAGATAGGGTTTTGTCCTGGTAACCGGTATAGGTTTCATCTTGTGGAGTGACACTTAAATCCAAGCAGAATGTGGTTGGTTTCTCCCACGATGGCTTTGCCACTATCCCACCAGTGGACGGATCTGTGTATCTTGCCAGGACAGTCATTATTGTAGTTTGCAGGGCTCACAGTTAGGTTCGATTGAGGATTACTTTTTCACTCTGGTAGATGCATAGCATCTTTTAGCAGTTGAAAACTAGAAGAGAGATGAAGCTTCCAGGTCAGTACCAGCTTGATTTCTTCATGTTTTATGACTCAAATATGTGGTGTCTTCAGTATTAGGGTCTTCTCATCAAGTTTTGGAGGGTAACCAAGAGCAGTGACAATACCTGTAATGTTTAGGGGGTGTCTTTGGGGCTAACAACTCCAAAAGAGGTAACCCGTTCCTAGCCATGGACTTTTAATTTATTCATCTGTGGTATCTAGTGATATTGTTTTGGAAACTCCATTTTTTTTACACATACTATATATTTCTATTTGTCATCTGTCTGTCTGTCTGTCTACCTATCTATCTAGAGAGATACTGAGGCATCTATGGTAGTAGGTTTCCACATGCTTTTTTTCAAAAGGCCTTTAGTGTTATTTTTCCCTCTCTTCCAGGAGTTACTATTTTTAATTTTACAATATGAAGACATTGCAGCCATTCCCAGAAGTATAACAGCTCTAAAGTTCCATGGATTCATAACCTAGGTTTATCACTCGTAAATGAGTGAACTGTTGTTCCCAGTCCTCACCTCAAAGTATGGATTTCTTTGGAATTGGCTCTTTTCTGGAGCCCTGTGCCAGAGCCTGTCTGTGAGTCCAGCTACTTCCGCACCCCTCATTCAAGTCCGGTTTCTGGTTTGTCTCTTCAGAGTCACTTTGAACAATTAGTTGTAGAACGCTCTCCCCTGAGCACACACTCACCATCTTCGTCAGAACAGTGCAGACTGCTTGTAACAGAGCTCGTTTGACTCGGTTTATGGGGCTTCCCCCGACCCTCAAACACTACGCTGTCCTGGTTACTGCTTTGTGAGTTGCGACCTCTGGCGGGCTTTGGTGTGTTCCTCGGTGTCACATTAACTCTCCTGTCTTCCCGTATGAATTTGAGACTTTTAATATCTGTAGGATATTGATGGAGATGTCGTTGTATCCACAGCCAAGGTTGGGGAGAGCTGACACCCTAAACATGTTGACTTTTCCTGCTTATTATATGGAATATGTCCTCATCCACTTTGATCTTTCATTTCTTTCCACAAAGTCTTGTAGTTTTCCTCATAGTCATCTCATAATTAAAAAATTACATTAGTATTACTTTGTTTGGATGTCATTCTCAACGTGCTGATTTCACCGCAAATTCCAGTGGTTTGGTGCTCCTGTATAGGGAAGTGATATTTTGTTACGAACTCTGTGTCTACTGCTTACAATAACCTGCTTTAGAGTTTGTTGTTGATTTTTGTGGGATTTTTCTCCACAAACAATCATGCTGTCTATAGAACAAGTCAGAGCTCTTTCTCACTGACCACTTAGAATAATTCTCTGCAAGGTTCATATGGTACACTTGGTCGACACGTCTTTTAAGTACTTTTTTTTTATTCCACACGAGCTTCCCCCCCAATATTTTAATACTTTTATTTGTTGAGGGCATCTTATTTAACAATAACTATAACTATCAGTTCATCATTGAGAGCTTCTGGTTCTGACTGTCATTTTCGTCTGTATCCCCAGCTGTCATGATCACACCTAAATGATATTTACAATTTTCTAACATTATCTCATGCCCCATTTATACTTAACTCTCCCTTGTCTCCTTTCTTACTCATGTGTGGAGGCCAGGACCCAGTCCAGGTCACGTACCTCATGCAAGGAATGATTTTCCCCTATCTTTAATTGGGAGAAGATTGACCTCTACTTCTTTCATTACTCAGCCAGTATAAGCCAGGATCCAGTCCAGGTCATGTACCTCATGCAAGGAATGATTTTCTTCCGTCTTTAATTGGGAGAAGATTGCCCTCTACTTCTTCCGTTACTCAGGCAGAGGTGGGCTTTGACCTCGTGACTGGCTCAGATCTGTGGATTTTCTTGACTGGTTAAGAATGGGCTGCAGAGATGCTCTCTGTCAGCCTGCCCACCTCACCGCTACCCTGTCCCCACCTCCTACTGAATCGGGAGACTGGGATATGAAGGGCCTTCTTCCTAAGTGCTTTACACTTTTCTTCTTGTTCCTCAGATTGGACTCTGCAAGTAGACCCTTCTCTAGGGAGAGTGTTCTGGAGAGTGGGAGATGGCCCCAGGGCTCCTGACAACCAGAGACAAGGTAAGCCCTGCCATTTCTCATGGCCCTTTCCTGTCTGCAGTCTTCCGGTGGGTGTTAGGCAGTGCCTACCCCCATCTGGGAGGTCTAACCTATGCTAACTGGAGCTTTCTATAAAATTCCTTTGCTTCACTCATGTCAAAAGCATTCACCAAGTAGTTAACTGTGATCATCGCATGGCTTACGTAACAACACAGGTTGTCTAGGCTTAGGAACCCAACGATTCCCAAGGCCTAAAGGATGTATATGAAGGCTGTGTGTGTGTGTGTGTGTGTGTGTGTAAGACATGGAAGCCAGAAATCAACCTTGGGTATGACTCCTCAGGAGTCATCCATTTTGTTCTTTTGGGACTGTGACTCACACTGGAACCTGGGCTTACTGATTCGGCGAGGCTAGCTGGCTAGTGAGCTCCAGGGATCCATCCCCTCTCCACTCCCCAGCGCTTGGATTTCAGTACCTGGCTTTCAGCTGGGTGCTGGGGATCAGGCTCAGGAGCGTATGGTTGCAAGGCAAGCCCTTTATCGACAGCTGCCTTCCCAGCCTTCAGGATGGCTTTCGAAGGATTTTGCAAACTGTAGAGTTGGAGAGGTCATTCTTAGAGGAATGTCTCAAGGAGTCTAGCCCTTCTCAGACCTAGTGACTGCAGGCCACCCTTTACTGCGCTGGGAGCTTACACTAGCCAGTAGCCTTTGAATACACCTCTTTCTCTGTGTAGAGGTGAAGAGTCTATACCTGCTGTCTAGGTGTGGCACATGGATAACTTTGCTTGTGTGGCCACCATGCTCTGTGTTTGAGCTTTTTTTATATACCTGCTCCTTGATTTATGGTGGGATGATGTCTTGAAAAGCCCATTGTAACTTGACTATACTGTAAGTAGAAAGTAGATTTAATTCACTTGGTCTACCAGGCATAAGAGCTTAGCCTCACAGGGTACCATAGAGTACCAGTTACTTACCCTTGTGATCACGTGGCTCACTAGGAGCTGCACTTTATTACTACTGACTGCACTGTACAAATGTAATGCCATATATTGTGTGCTCAGGAAGAAATCAAAATTCAGAGAATAGTTTCTGCTGAATGAATGTATGTAACTTTTATACTACTGTAAAATTAAGAGTATAGGTTGGATCATTTTAAGTAGAGGAACCATCCATACTTAAAAAAGGCAGTAGTGGCACACGCCTTTAATCCCAGCATATGGGAGGCAGAGGCAGGCGGATCTTTGTGAGTTCGAGGCTAGCCTGGTCTACAGAGCAAGACCCAGGAAAGGTGCAAAGCTATACAGAGAAACCCTGTCTCGAAAAACCAAAAAAAAAAAATAAATAAAAATAAATGTATTTTAGCTGGGCGGTGGTGGCACACGCCTTTAATCCCAGCACTCGGGAGGCAGAGCCAGGTGGAGCTCTGTGAGTTCGAGGCCAGCCTGGTCTCCAAAGTGAGTTCCAGGAAAGGCGCAAAGCTACACAGAGAAACCCTG